AACAATCATTTTTTCAAAAAATGGTGCTGAGAGAACTGGATATCCACATGCAAAAGAATGAAGTTGGGCATAGTAGCACATGGCCATACCATACACATAAATTAACTTGCAATGAATCAAAGTCCTAAATATAGGCACTAAAACTATGAAACTCTAAGGAGAAAACAAGGGGGTACATTTTCCTGACCTTGGATTTGGCAATGGATTCTTAGAAATGACACCAAAGGCATAAGCAACAAGAGATAAAATAGATAAATTGAACTTCACCAAGACTTAAAACCTTTGTGCATCAGAGGACATAATCAAGAAAGTGAAAAAACAACCCACAGGATGGGAAAAAAAATTTTTGCAAGTCATATATCTGATGAGGGTCTAGCATGCAGAATATATAAAGAACTTTCACAACTGAACAACAAATAGACATGTAACCCAATAAAAAAAGTTTATTCATGTAGGCTAGGACAGGAAGGTAATAATGTAAAAGGGAAAAATAACTGTAGTAGGCTGAAGACTTATATATGTATATTTCCTTTAAAGAAAGAACCAAATGCAATGTGATCTAGACTTTGTTCAGATCCTGGTTCAAACAAACAAACTGTAAGAAAACATTTTTCAGATGATTAGGAAGATCTTCATATGGGCCAGGTATTAAACTACCTAAATTAAGAAATTACTGTAAATTTTGTTAGATATGATAATAGCACAATGGTTGTATTTTTAAAAGTCAAAGGTACATTCTGAAGAATTTACGGTGAAATCACGTGGTATCTGAGATTTGATTTAAAATACTGCTGAGCACCACTCACAGTAGTGAAGACATGAAATCAACCTACATGCCCATCAGTGGTGGACTGAATAAAGAAAATGTGGCACATACACACCATAATACTATGCAGCCATAAAAAAGAATGAGATTACTTCCTTTGCAGCAACATGGATGGAGCTGGAGGCCATTATCCTAATAGAATTAATGCAGGAACAGAAAACCAAATACTGCATGTTCTTACTTATAAGTGAGACCCAAACACTGAGTACACATGGACACAAAGAAGGGAACAATAGACACTGGGGCTTATTGAGGGCGGAGGATGGGAGAAGGGTGAGGAACAAAACACTATCGGGTATTATGCTAATGACCTGGGTGACAAAATAATCTATACACCAAACTCCCGTGACATGCAATTTAATCATATAACAAACCTGTACATGTACCCCTGATCCTAAAATAAAAGTTGGAAAAAATAAAATAAAACAAAATACTACTGGGAAAAAAATTTGAAGAGGATAGATGAACCAAAAATGGCAAAATGTTGATAATTGTTAAAGCTAAGTGATCAGTGTTAGGTCCATGAGTGCTTGTTATCCTATTCTATCTTTGCTGACGTATGTTTGAAATTTTCCATGATAAAAAAAAATTGCAAATGTTATTTAATGTTGCTGTTGTCTCAACTTTAAGTAATCAGGAAAATAGAAACACTAGCAACTTATCTTCAGAACCCTACCTAGCTAGAGTAGATGGCTCAACTCAGATCCAACCCAACTCACATCTCAGCCAGGGCAGATCTTTTGCAAGATACTGAGATTGGACCAATCTCGCCTTTGGGTGCAGGATAGGGGGGAACAACAAGAGGGAGAAAAATTGATCATAGGCAACGAGACAACCCTTTTGATAGAGCAATGAGCACTTTGCAACTGCTGGCTAAGGGGAAAAGCTGGAGCTACTCCCTATGTGATCTCAGAAAACACCACCTTTCTCTCCGCCCTGCTGCAACCCAGAGAGCTGCTTGCAGAGAGTGCTGAAGGCTCTCAACCATGTTCATGATCATTATGTCTTTATTTATTTATTTATTTATTTATTTAGAGACAAGATTTCACTATGTCACCCAGGCTGGAGTGCCGTGGTGCGATCATAGCTCACAACCTTGAATTCCTGGGATCAAGTGATCTTCCCGCCTCAGCCTCCTGAGTAACTGTGACAACAAGTGCACACCACCATTCCTCGCTAATATTTTTTATTTTTTGTAGATACAGGGTCTCGCCATGTTGCCCAGGCTGATCTTAAACTCCTGGCCTCACACAGTCGTCATGCTTCAGCCTCCCAAAGTGCTGGGATTACAGGCATGAGCCACTGCACCCAGCCTCGTTACCATTATATCTTACATTTCAAGAACACTTTGTGCTTTCAAATAAATTCACTGGATGCTCACCAACACCCAGTGATCCAGGCAAGGCGGAAATTATTATCCCCATCTTACTCATAAAGAAGCTAAGCTCTAAAGAGCTTTTATGACATTTGCCCCAGGTCACCCGCTAGTGTGGGCAGGGGAACAGACTAGGAGCCAGTTTCTTCAATTATTCTCCAAGGTAGTTTTCTTACCAAAGTCCTATTTTCTTTCTCTTATTCCTTATCATTTACATTTTCTTTTCTTTTTCTTTTTATACCATTGCTTTCACCTTTATCAGACTGACAGTCACCTTGGGGACAAAAAAAAAATGCACACTGAAATCTATAAGCAAATTTTTCTCTTCCTTCCATCTTCTGGGCTGTCAGAAAGATATCTCAGAAGTTTAGTGGTTTCCTGGTTGTTTTGTGTGTTTTTTGTTGTTGCTTTGTTTTGTTTTGCAATCAAGAGGAATTGACCTGAACACTTTCAAGGAAGAAAAAGTGAAGTAAAGAAGGAACACAAGGTCGGGCACAGTGGCTCATGCCTATAATCCCGACACTTTAGGTGGCTGAAGCAGAAGGATTGCTTGAGTCCAGGAGTTTGAGACCAGCCTGGGAAACATAGTGAGGCCCTATCTCTACAAGAGAATTTTTTAATTAGCTGGGCATGGTGGAACACACCTGTAGCCCCAGCTACACAAGAGGCTGAGGTGGAAGGATCGCTTGAGCCCAGGAGGTAGAGGCTGCACTGAGCTATGATCATGCCACACACTCCAGTCTGGCAATCTGGGTAATACAGCAAGACCCTGTCTCAAGAAAAGGAAGAAGAAAGTAGAAGGAAGAAGAAAAAAGAAGGAAGAAGGAAAAGGAAGGAAAGAGGAGGAGGAGAAACATAATGTTTGCTCCAGTAGGTCAGCCAAGAACTCTGCCCAGCTTTCAAAGGTACCCCAGTGGCCCTCCAATCCTTGAGAAATCTCAGTTCTGCAAAGTGGGCCTACAGCTCTAGGTTGGCAAGTACAGCAGGCTAAATGGTAAAGGGGCAGCCCCAGTGGTTGGGTTCAGAGAGAGAGAGAGAGAGAGAGAGAGAAAGAGAGAGTAAAAATTCCCCAGAGAGTTAGCAATTAAAGGCCCAGACAGCTGATTCCAAGAAAAAGCAGGAGCCTTGTGCAGAGAAAAGGACAGTGAATTGAGAATCGGAGACCTGGGTTCTACTCCTGATTCAGAGGTTCGTTCCAACTCCAGGGTTTTCATTTATCTGTCCATAAAAGAAGACAGAATCTCAGCAGCGCCTTCCAGTTTGGTACTGGCTGCTTGTGTTTAAGTGTGTGAGAAGTATCACATAGAGTCAGATTATACACTGGCAGGGCACAAAGGCCCATGCCTGCCTCTAAAGTTGGGGCCAACCCTTAGATATCCCTAACTCCCCCTATTTAAAAAATTGACAAATAAAAATTATATATATTTATCATGTACTACATATTTTAAAATATGTATATATTATGGGATGGCTCAGTTGAGCTAATTAACATATACATTACCTCAAATACTTATCTTTTTTTGTGGTGAAAATACTTAAAAATCATTTTTTTAAGAGGCAGGGTCTCACTACATTGCCCAGGGTAGCCTCAAACCCCTGGGGCTCCCATCTCAGCCTCCTGAGTTGCTGGGACTACAGGCACACACTACCACGCCCAGCTTTCTCAGTGATTTTCAAAACACATTGTTATTAGCTGTAGTCACCATGTTGTACAATAGATCTCTTGAACTTACTCCTCCTATCTAACTGAAATTTTGTATCCTTTGACCAACATCTCCCCAACTCCCCACCCCCCACTCCCAGACCCTGGTAACCACCATTCTACTCTGCTTCTGAGTTAACTTTTTTAGATTCCACATACAAGTGAGATCACGCTGTATTTGTCTTTCTGTGCCTGGCTTATTTCACTTAGCATAATGTCCTCCAGGTTTATCCACATTATGAACATGGACAGCATGTTCACAGCAAAGGACAGCATTTCCTTCTTTTTTAAGGCTGAGTGGTATTCCACTGTGTATATATACCTCGTATTCTTTATCCATTCATCTGTTAATGGGACTTACGTTGATTCCATATCTTGGCTGTAGTGAATAGTGCTGCAATGAGCATGGGAGTGCAGATACCTCTTTGATATATTAATTTCAATTCCTTTGGATATATACTCAGTAGTGAGATTGCTGGATCATACAGAGTTCTATCCCTAACTCCCTTTTAATCTTACTATTAAGAACTGCTTTCCCTGAACCGTCACAAATTTGTTTGTGTTTTCAGCCTGCACCACAGTGGAGGACAGATTTCCACTGAACTCCGTTGGCTCCTCAATGCAGAAATAGGACTTTACTCCAAGGCGCAAGAAGGCTTAAGGGGCCAAGTTAATAGAAATGTATAGAGCCAGCCGGGCGCAGTGGCTCAAGCCTGTAATCCCAGCACTTTGGGAGGCTGAGACAGGTAGATCACGAGGTCAGGAGATCAAGACAATCCTGGCTAACCTGGTGAAACCCCATCTCTACTAAAAAATACAAAAAACTAGCCGAGCGAGGTGGTGGGCACCTGTAGTCCCAGTTACTCGGGAGGCTGAGGCAGGAGAATGGCATAAACCCAGGGGTCGGAGCTTGCAGTGAGCTGAGATCCGGCCACTGCACTCTAGCCTGGATGACAGAGCGAGACTCTGTCTCAAAAAAAAAAAAAAGAAAAAGAAAAAAAGAAATGTATAGAGCCACCTCTTGGTGGGCAGCATGTGATGAGGAATGAGAGTGGCAGCTTCTGAGACAGCCCAGCTCCCCGGGGCCGTGGACTTACCGAGATCTTGGTGAAAATGTAGAGCAGCAGGGACAGAATGGAAAGGTAGATCTGGATCCGCTGGCCTCCAAACCGCTTCCGCAGGTACTCTGGCATCGTCACCACCTGCATGGGGTGTGAGGGAAGTCACTGCCAGCCACAGTGACCAGAGGGCCCAGAGCAGACAGAACAGTGACACCATCCTGGTGTACGAGCCACAGAAGTGTGGTCAAGGATTCATAACCTTTGCTAGCCAGGGAAGTCTGCAAGGTGGCCAGATGGCCCCTGACCTCCAGCCATTTGCTAATTTTAATCCCATATGCCCTACCACTGTAGGAGTAGCTAGATGTTATCCCAGCCCAATAAACCTGTCACTGGGCATCAGTTAAGGAGCCAGACCCTTGCCCTGGAGGAGGTATATATATATATATATAATGCCACTGCAGACAGTCAGAAATTTTATAACCTGGGAGTGAAAGCCAATCCACAGATTTTTCTGCCATTTATCCCATAATGTCTCCTCTACCCTCTAGGAAGACCAAGCTGACAGATACATTTGCCAGCAGGAAATGAAATAACAGAGCAGATACTTACCCCAGCCTTAATATAGATGGGGACAAACAGCCAGCCCAGCACAACCACCAAAACCAGGGCCTGAAATGAACACAAAAGGTGGACTCAAACTAGGAGGAACCTTAGTCCATCCCCGCCACCTGAAGGGCCCCTCAGCTGCTGCAGAAAAATTACCCAGCATGTTCTCCCCTAAGGAGCCATTAGAGACTGGAGGAGGCCTTTGCTGCCTAACTGACCCATGGAAATAGCAGTTAGAAAACAGCAGAGAGGAGCCCAGGAGGCTGCTCATCACCATCACAGCCCTGGGCCACAGCGAGAGCACTGGGTTCTCCTTCACCTCTTCCCTGGTTTACACAGAGTAAAATGCCATTTAGAGAGCTTTAATAACAACAATAATAGTAATAATAAATAATTACATTTATTACTACTACTACTATTATTATTAGAGGCCAGGAGTTCAAGACTAGCCTGGGCAACATAGTGAGGCCCTGCTTCTACAAAAAATTAAAAAATTCACCAAGCATGGTGGCACATGCCTGTAGTCCCAGCTACTTGGGAGAGTGAGGTGGGGACATCGCTTGAGCTCAGGAGTTTGAGGCTGCAGTAGGCTATGATTGCACCACTGCACTCCAGCCTGGGCAATGGAGCAAGACCCTGTCTCTAAAAATAAAATAATAATAATAATAATGGAAATCTGGTGGTAAGCATTTCCAAACCTCAAACAGGACTAGAAGGGCCTTGGTTTTTTAACATGAAGGGAAAACAGAAAAAATACTATTGCTGTCATACCAGTGGTTTTCTCATGCTACTCTGGTGGAAGGCAAGCAGGGCCCTGAGGCTCCTGAAGCCATGCCCCTCCTCTGTCTGCACCCTGGGTTGACCCTGAAGGGTTCCCTAACACCTTCAGCTCCTCTGAGCATAGATTGAACTGGTTGACTGCTAAGACTCCTTCCAGCCCCAGTGCACCAGGGCTGCAGTGTTACTCACATTCCATTCAAAGCCTCCAATGGCGATGCCTGAAGCTGCTCCGGTCCCGGCAAGCCCCACAAAGTGGCCACTTCCAATGTTACTAGCGAAGAGGGAGGCTCCAATCTGGAAATGCAAAAGAAAGTCAGGTAAGGGCTCTGTGTTCCACCAGGTCACTCAGAGTGGGTCAAAGAGAGAAGAGACATGTCAGTCAAGAGAAGGACAAGAAAGAGCAGAGGCAGGCTGGGAGCACAACTGTTCTGGAATCATAAGGGACAGTTGGTTCAGAAGGCAGATGTGGAAACTTAGAAAATAGAAAAGATGAAAAGGAGAGGATTGGGGAAGGAGCAGTGGGATGTATCCCAAAACCAGATCATCTGTGAGTCTTTTATGGGCCCTGTGTCCAGTCCTGAAGAAGATATGGAAAGTCCCACAGCCACCAGGCCTCTCTAAAAATCTCCTTCAAGGCTGTGTGCCTAGGACATGAGTCCTTGATCTCCATATTCCCCAGCATGCCTGGTGGCTTAGGGTCTTGCCCAATACAGGCTCTCAGTAAACACTGAGAATTTTCTTGAAAGAAATCATTTCAAAGAAGGCCTCTGGACCTTAGTTACCTGGTCAAATAAGGAGCGGCGTGGAGCTGACGATTTGCAAGTGATTCCTAGCTGTTAAATTATGTGACTCCATGAACTCCCAAGTAACAGATGATATTAATAATAATAATAATTCTCTAGATCATGTAGTATTGATATTTTTACAAAAGTTCTAGGGACTACACGGACACATGCACAAAACAGTGCATTTTTCAAGGATACGCACATGTCTAAATGCAGATTATAGAAGACAGATTGGAAGCACATATATCAAATACCCAGGAGTGGAAGACTAGAAGGGGAAAGGAGAATAGGACTGTGAGTGGGAGACAAAAAAAGAAAATATCAGGTAAAGCAAGAGAGGGATCTTGCACTAACCAATCATAATACTGTGTCAGCAACTCAATTGCATTTGAGGTCAAAAAGAACTCCAGAAAGTTCTAACGTCCTTCTGTATCCAAGAGGAGAAGGTACAGCAGCATTTGACAAGAATCAAACAAGTGTAATTATCCCCATTCTTGCTAAGCAGATGGGGAGAGGCTTGTTGTTATTTATCTAATGTCCCAAAGATGGTCCAAACCTGGAACAAAACGCTTATTTCCCAAAAGACAGATTACGCCAAGAAACTATTCTAACTATACCAGCCCCTATTACCAGTATAAGGCAGCTGGTGCTTAGTGCCAAATATTAAGTCAGGGGAGAGAGAGATTTCTGAAGGCCTAGCCAGAAGAAGTTCTCAGAATGACAATGAGGAGACAGTGGTTGGTGTAGGTGCATTAGTACATTTGCTCAATAAATATTAACTTAGCCATCTACTGCACGTGTCAAGCACTAATAACAGCTGTGAATAACACAGACAAAATCCCTGGTCTCAAGAAGCTTATATTCAAATGCTGTAAATATAAATAAATAAATGACAAAAACAATGATCAGAGAGTGGTAAGTGCTATGAAGAGAATAGAGGGTGTGATAGAGTGATTAGATTGAAGAGTCTGAGAAGGTCACTCTATGGACTTTCTCTAATATTAAAGAATTACTATTATAATTCAGACATTTAAGCTGAGATCTGGATGACAAAAAAGTTAATCATTCAGAGACCACAGGAATAGCATTCCCACTAAGCAAAGACCCCCTGACACCCCACAAGTGGGAAAGATATGCATAGTTGAGAAGCAAAAAGAAGGTTGATATGTGATAATGATTTGTGATCTTAATATTTTAAAACAGAGTCATTTAGGCTGGGTGTGGTGGCTTATGCTTCTAATCCCAGAACTTTAGGAGGCTGAAGCAAGAGGATTGCTTCAGACCAGGAGTTGGAGACCAGCCTGGGCAACATAGTGAGACCCTGCCACTATAAAAAAAACCAATGTAAAAACTTAGCTGGGCATGGTGGTGCATGCCTGTAGTACTACCTACTTAGGAGGCTGAGGAGGAGGATCAATTGAGCCCAGGACTTGCAGGCTTCAATGAACTATGATCAGTCATGCCACTGCACTCCAGCCAAAGTGAGAGTGAGACCCTGACTCAAAAAAAAGTGAGTTTTATTCTAAGTGAGATGGGATGCCACTGGAGGATCTGAAGCAGGAGAGGGACAGCACCTAATTTACTTTTTTAAATTGCTGTAAGTTGTGTGTAGAGTGCAGTGTTGGGGGCAAGGGAGAAAATAGAACAACCAGGTGGGAGACTATCACTGGCTTAGGTGAGACAGGACAGTGGCTTGGACTAGGGTGACAGCAGTTGAGACAAAGGCAAGGGTAGAGATTAGGAAGTATGTTTTAGAAACAAAGTTGGCAGGCTCTGTTGATAGGTTAGATGTGGGAAGTGTGGGACAGAATAATCAAAGGTAACTCCTAGATTTGGAACTTGAGTAACTGGGTGGATGCCATTCATTAAGAAGGGGAAACTAGGGGAAGGCAGAGTGTTTAGAGACATTTACCTCCTTCTGCTCAAAGCTTGATGGGGATAACAGTCCTTTTTTGTTTTGTTTTGTTTTCTGAGACAGCGTTTTATTCCTGTCACCCAGGCTGGAGTGCAGTGGCACATCTCGGCTCACTGCAACCTTTGCCTCCCAGGCTCAAGTGATCCTCCAGCCTCAGCCTCCCAAGTAGCTGGGACTACAGGTGCGCACCACCACACCCGACTAATTTTTGTATTTTTTGTAGAGATGGGGGTTCGCCATGTTGCCCAGGCTTGTCTCGAACTCCTAGTCTCAAGCAATCCATCTGCCTCGGCCTCCTAAAATGCTGGGATTACAGGTGTGAGCCACCCTACCCGGCCTAACAGTCCACTTTTAATCAAAAGTTTTGTTCTGCAAGTGGCCTACCTGCCCTGACCCACTATCTTTTCATTTATCACCTCTTGCTTGATAAATAATTAAGCCTAATGCTGTACTATTAAGGACATAATTACCAGAAATGATTAACTGCATTAGATGAGTCATAAGTTCAGAAAGTCCTCTCCAATCTCTCTCCCAAACAGGGACATTGTACTCTAAGCAATGTCAGGCTGTCCTGAAGTCCCCACTCACTATCTGAGAAGACAGTGGAATGAGGCCAGGAGAGCTCAGGGTACCAGAATGACCTGAGCCCAGGTTCTGTTCATTTTATTAGGGGAACCACCTTCCTCATTCTGGACTTCCTCTCTTTACCCCATGACCTACACTTAATCATTTACCGAAACTCTGACTCTGCCTTCACAATATTATGGCCACCTAGCTCTTTCTAGATGACCCTTCTGCTGCCTGTCACTATCTCTCAACAGGACCAAGTAACGGGCTGCTAGAGGATCTCTATTCTCTCCTTTTCATCAGTCACCTCCCCACCCACCCACATGGCCAAGCAACCTCCCCAAAGCACAACTCTGATCATAACACTGACCTATTCAGAGACTCTCCTGGACACCCAAAAGCGTCTCTCAAGTGGTCTTCCTGACAGCTACAGGCCTAAAAACAGTCTTAGGAATATAGCAAGGTTTCAAGGTAAAGTTCCCTCAAGTGCAAAGACAGCATGAGCTTTACAACTCAAGTTTGAATGATTTATTGACCTCTTACTATCTGGGTGATTAGAACATCTACAAGCCTCTGTCTTCTCTCATAGCAGGGTTGGTGCAGGAGTCAAATGAAATTATGAACCAGTTGTGACTGACACAGCTGATTCTTATCAGTGTCCCTTCCCTCCTTTCTCCTTCCAAGAGGATAATTACTTCACCGGCAAAGACAATTAGCAAGAGCTACAATGGATACTGTTATAGACAGAATTGTGTCCTCTCTGCAAAATTCATTATGTTAAAGCCTGTATTCATATGTTAAAGTTGGTATTCATAAATACCAACCCCCAAGGTGATGGTATTTGGACATAGGGTCTTTAGGGAGATAATAAGGTTAAATGAGCACATAAGGGTGGAGCCCCAATCTGATAGGATTGGTGTCCTTATAAGAAGAGACACCAGAAATCTCTGTCTGTCTCTCCCCCTATACATGCACAGTAAAGAGGCCACATATGAGGACACAGCAAAAAGGCAGCTATCTACAAGCCAGGAAGAGAGGCCTCACCTGAAGCCAACCCTGAAGGCACCTTGATTTTTGACTTCTACCTTCTAGAACTATGAGAAAATTAATTTCTGTTGTTTAAGCCACCCAGTCTGTGGTATTTTGTTATGGCAGCCTGAGCCAACTAAGACAGACACCACTGTTTTATGGCCTGTACTCCCCTGCCAGGTTTTTACGCTGCTCCTCCTGTTGCTGGAGCTCACCAACAATACGTTCATCATGCCAATTTCCCAAACACTTTCTCTGTCCACTCCTCACCCACGCTCATGCCCATTTGAGAATTGGCACCACTCCCATGCAGGGAGTGACCCAGTGCCATGAATCACCATTCTCTGTAATTCTCTAGAATGTCCCCCCGCGTTCCTATGAATTCAGGATTTCAGACTTTATCTAAAATTTCCCCAACTTGACCTCACCTCTCATTAACTTCTTTCCCAACCCTCCTCACCCTCTGATGGGACTCGAAAGGCCATTACAAGTATGTGGATACTTTTGCTGCTTGTTGTGCAAGATGAACTGAGTCTGACCAAACCCAACAGGTCTGAGAGCATGGGAATTGGGAAAACAACATAATGTCACATCACAAAATGCAGAAAGGCTATTTATTCTTTTGACTTTAGGGAATTTGTAGTCACATTTTACTACCTAGATGTCCTATCCTGGAAGGCTGGTGGGAGGGGAGATGTATGGAGAAATTAAACAATCATTGAATCTTTCAGAGTGGAATGGGTCTGTGGATGCCACAGCTTAAGTCCCCTCTGCAACACCTCCCAAGTGATGGTCAGTTCTTAATGCATACCTCTAGTGACAGAGAACTCGCTACCTTACAATGCAGCTGAATCTGTGGTGGAACAACTCTAGTTGTTAAAAAGTCATTCTTGGCCGGGCACGGTGGCTCACGCCTGTAATCCCAGCACTTTGGGAGGCCAAGGCAGGCGGATCACGAGGTCAGGAGATCGAGACCATCCTGGCTAACTCGGTGAAAA